TTAAATTGTTAGAAAAATTTACATAGAATAAAAGGTTAATAAAAAGGTGCCTCCTCGCAACATTTCACATTCACTCAGCAGATATTGATTTGAAAGTTTGCAACAAAGATTAAATGCGGTATCATACGCGTACACGATCGACCAAAATTAACAAAAAGTTTTATAATCTCAGCATGTACTGAAAAGTCGCTTGAAGGCAAATAAGACTTTCTTATTTGTTTAGTGCTTTTTTTTCGTTCTTCGACTTTTTGCAATTAATTTTTTAATATCTTTGTCGTTTTTATTATTTTCATGAAGTGTATTATTTACTGACACTTAAAAATCATGTTAATGGATAATGTGTCTGCTTTGTTTGATTCGTTTTATGTTCATTTAATACCAAAAATAAGTCGCAATTTTGAGAAAGCAGTATTCCCCAAATTCGATTGAAATTCGATACCAGTTTGAAAAGGATATAAACTCGAGTTGTTAAATTTTTAAAGATTTAATGTAATATTTTTTTTTTTCTAACTAAAAAGAGAAAAAACATTCACATGACTCGATAATGCGAGGCTCCATCAATTATGTTGTGGAAAAAATCAACAAGCAACAGCAAACAAGCGATTATAAAATAATGATTGATGGCATGTATGAAAACTAAGATAACATGTAATGCAATCATAATCACCGCAAAACACATACAAATATACATACACCTATACATTTGCTCTTTATATATATATATATATATATATTCACATGGCTGAAACCAACAAATAAGCGAAACCTATTATTAACACAATTCATCTCTTTTGTGATATATACTCAAACTAACTGAACACAAGCTTATCATGATTTTGTTGCTGGAAAATTGATTTTACATGATTTACCGATAAATTGGTCAGTCATTGAAAGCCTTACTAAGTTCGCTTAAGACTCGCTTGCGCTATATATTTTTGGCAAATAATTTTCTAATGTCATGGTGGTCAACGATAGAGCTGACTGACCAGATCAAGGAAAGAAAAAAGCCAAAACAAATACATAATCACATCAAAGTGTATGTAATACGATTGGAAAGAGATGTTGATGATTGTGATGATGACGATGGTATTGAGTGCGCAAACCAGCCAGTAGGCTACATCGATGAGGATAATGATGATGACGATGACGATGATGATGATGATGATGACGGGTGAGTATGTCGTTAATGATAGCGGCGCTTTGCTATCTAGAAAAAGCGTGAAGCACGTAGTGGCAGTGTTTGCTGAAAGAACCACAAAATTGCTTACAATTCATACATACGTATACATATATTCGCATAGAAGCATGTGAGTATTGCGTCTGCTCTCTTCCCAATATTGATTTAATTTATTCACATAACAGCAAAATTATATAATTGAACCGATTCAACCAGATCATTATATTCGGCCAGAGTATTGAAACTCAATTCACTACCCATTAAATACGTATGTGTTGTTACTTCCTTATGCCTAAATCGGTTTATCCATACAAATTAGAAAACCCAAAAATAAAAACGAATTTCTTTTTTGCTGGACTTTATTAAAACGTTAAAATTAACGTAAAGAGAATAATAAATAAAAATAACATAATGCGAAGTAAATAAGGTATGTAAAAATATAAGGCAATCTTAAGGACGGACGGACGGACGGACGAAGGGACGCTCATTCGTACGCATTAACGTTCAAAATCCATATACGTGTATACATAAAATCATTCTTCCTGGATGACTACTAGAAAAATATATATATATATATATATATATTGGGATCGTTTAGCATTTAGGGTTAGGATTTATGCTCGGATTGTTTTGTTGTTATTGTTTTGACTCAGATTATGTCCCCACTATCAAAGATAAGCACTGCTTTACATTACTTTCTCCTAAAGAATATTCGTAAACATATTCGCCTGCCCCGCCGTCCTAAATTGGACCAATCGCAACCGCAAGCTTTGAAAGATGGAGGATCTTACAAAAGCAGCCAAAATATTTCGCACTTAAAATATAAGGCGCAAGATGCATATCTACAACAGACAGGCAGAAGGACCATAAGTGCAGAATACTAGCGTACTAAAAGGTGCAGCATTAAATTGGCTGAATAGAATCTTCAAACTTTTAATCAAACACTTTGTATTTTGTTTGTCATAATTGAAAAGATTGTTACATTAATAAAAAGTCGCCACTACCGAAAATATCTGATTTTTGTATTTAGAAGATACACACAATCTTGGTTGATATATTGCTTATGGGATCACTCGAGGTGTGAACGCAAAATTGTCCAGCGACGACTACTTCCCTCTTCTCCTATAAACAAAGTATTGCCAAATGTTCAGTTGAACAAACAGAGATAAGGCACCGATACCATGAAGCTTGATGGCTTCTTTTGAGGCAGGGTTACATTCATAAGGAAAATCGTATTGTATTGTACTTAAGTCAACAAATAAAGCAAAAAAAAATTTATTTGCCTAATTCATGTTTATTCTGTAATAATTGTTTTTCTTTTTATCTTATACGAATTAAAGTTTGATTTCATACCGTATATGGCTGTACAAACATTAAGCTCTCTATGTGGAAATTGGCTGCTTAATCAAATCTTCTTCGAAGAATTCAGGTGTAGACAATCTTGGCATTGATGTTTATTCTATGTAAGTTTTAGTTGTCTACAAGTTGTCGTTTAGTGTAGCTCAAAGTATAACACGATGGCGCTGCATTTGATTTTTTTTAAACTGGAAAGAATTCAGTTGAACCTACAGAAATGATTAGCTTGGCTTATCGTAAAAATGTAGTAAGTTAAGAAACAGTTAGAAAGGAGTTTTCGAGGGGTTTCATGCAAAATATTGTACTCTTTATGACGATAAATGTTCGTAAAGGCCCGCCCGTCTCCAGTGACAGCAATCTTAGAAGTGATTTTCAATTTTGTGTCTTGCACTTTATTTAGCTGCGTCAGTCAAGCGCACTCATTTCTCTTAAGTAATTAATTCGCTAATCAATCAAAAAACTTATTTGCTTTTAGATTAATTTTTATCTGTTATTTGTTGTCCAATATATTCACTTATTATTTACCCACCACCGAAGGATGGGGGGATATATTCACGTTGTCAAAACGTTAAACTTAAAAGAAACTTCATCATAAAAGGAAGCTTCGGAGACTCCATTTGATCAGCATCAAATTCTAAACCAATCGAAGCATGTCCGTCTGTCTATGTAATATCTGTAGAAAACATACTCTTGGTTGCAAAAATAAAGCTATCGGCTTCAAATTTGGTAGAAATCTTGGATACAGGTTGGTACCGTTTGGCTACATTTTTTTTTATACTCGCCACCGAAGAATGAGGGGTACATTCAAACCCAGAAGGAAGCTTCAGAGATACCACGAAGTATATACATTCTCGATCAGCTTTAAAGTCTGAATCAATTTAAGCATATCCGACCGGTTGGTTTTTTGCTCATTACTCAAACCACCACAGGTAAAAACTAAAAAATATTTGGGCGTATATTCGATAGACGATGTTGTAGTACTTCCATAAAAATGCAACACGCCTACTCAATTTGGTAGTGTCATAATTTCATTTTTTTTTCAAAACCTTTATAACGTATGGGGACAGGTTTCAAAAACCCCACAAACTAGATATATTCTTGGTCCCGTTTCAAATTCGGAGTGCAACTAAGCATGTCCGTCCGTCTACGCAACTGTGTAATATCTGTAGCAGCCATTCTTCCAAAATAAAGTTATCGCCTATAAATTTACAAGAGTTTGAAAATGAATCAAACTTTTCAATGAACACGCCTACAACATCGAAAGTGTACATAACAAAAACTGTAAACCCCTTTAGTTTCCGCGCTGTTTGCTTGTTACTCATAAAGCAAAACACATACATATGTAAAATCAGACGCACTCACACAATATTGTAGAAAATAAAACTTTAGTTCTTACGGTTTTTTTTAGGATCACGGTGAGGGGCATAAAATATTCGATCATGACCGCATATAATTTTCTCATTTCTTTTGCTCACATTTGCATCGGTTTCGATATTTTTTCTCTTATCAAATAATGTGGTAACCGGGATTCTTGATGTGTGTACTACTTGATATCTAATTGCTCGAAAAATGCAAACAAGCTTCATTGTGTCAGTGCCCGTACTTGTTAGTACCTTTCGTAGTACCCGCAGTTAATTTTTAAAGATTTCATATTACGCGAAATTTTGAAACGTCTCTTTGAATCTCAAAAATTCATTAGTTTATAGCCGGTTGGGTAAAAGGTATGTTTTACCAAAAACGTTTTATACTCATCACCAGTTTCGGCTAAAAATTTATTTAGGTTTTTGTCTGTACGTGAGAATTTCTTCCTCATATATATATAAACATTTTTAATCCGTTTGCAAGACTTCACTGGCGGATTACTCTGCCTGTCCGTTTCTTGTGGGCATTGATATAGAATCTTAAACTTTTACAAATGGATTCTAGGCTTATATTCCCGGAGGAGATTTTAAAGAGAGTGTTTGGTACCCGAATACACGCTTGCAATTAAATGATAGGTATCAGAAATTCGACTTGAGACGAATACAGAGTTCTTATCGGTTTTGCTTTCGCAGGTGAGCGAAATTAAGATTCCGAATTGAAGTAAAAACGTCAAGCTTTATATGCCCTTTCAATTAAAACAAAGAACAAAAGAAAACACGAGACAAAGAAAGTGAGAGTTACAAGCGCGAACAAAGACAAAAATTTGGGTAATACAACAACACCAGCACTACCAACACACCCAAATTTGTTGACGGGCAACTTCAACAGAGACTGGCTGGCAGACACAACGATCTGATAAAATCGATCAGTAAGCATAATTGCATCTAAACAACAACAACAACAACAATAATAATAACAACAGCAATGTGGGTTATAAAGGCATAATAAAAACACAAACGAAAAAGCTAAAACAACGCGACAGTAATTACTGGTTTTTTTCCTGTTAAAGAGATTTCACAAAAACTATACGGACGACAGCAATTACCGGAATATTATGTTATATCGTTACATACGATCGTATAGGCTTATAAGAGTAATTGAAAGTATCATTAATTTAAAGTGAGATGAGCGGGCAAAGCAAAGGAAAAGAAAACAAAACAAAACTTGATTTATTAAAAAAAATAAACAAGCGATTCATAAATATTCAGATATCAGTCAATATAAAATTTTTTTTACAAAAAATTGTTTTGTTTATCGAATATGGGAGTTTGGCGTTTGGTTTACGGAATAATAAACAACCTGATCGTATGCTTTAACATGCAAGCATTATGCAGCTATCTATAGTGGCTAGCTATTCGTCGATATAAACTGGCCAAGCTTTGTGACGGTCAAAATTTGTGTTGTGTCTCGTGAGTACGATCAACGGCGGCAACAACAACAACAATAACAACTAGTAGAGCTTAAAAAAAGCCAGTGCTACCGGTGGCTGACGAGACTCGCAAAGTGTGTATAATTTTCAATATTGCTTCAAACTGCCACCGATTCGTGGTCAATTTAGTTGGCTTGCAGCCATTAACACGATCGGTTCGCAGGCAAATAAAACAAAAACATTAACTAAAAATAAAAAAACTCGCTCTAACATATGAAAAGTTTTTTTTTGTTTCACAATTAAACAAAAGCTGGTGTTTTCAACTCGAAAGACGAAGAAAAGTAAAAAAAGCATATAAGAATAATAAGAAAGCGAAAGTGTTTTTATTACAAACGAAGAGAAAAGAACGGGATTTAAAAAAAAAAAAAAAACCCAGACAACTGTTCAGCAGAATGCCTCCTCAGTCACATTCACGTGTGCTATTTTATATATTTTGTGTGGCCTCGTTACTGGCCGTAGCTAACTCCAACTCCGGTAGTAAACAAAATTCATATTTTATCTCATATTTATATTATTTATTATTAAATTTCATTAATCCCTATGCTTTTCCCATCTATCAGAAAATTGTACAGATTTTTTTAAGTTAACTTAGTCGCTTTAAACTTTTTAAAATTTATTTATAATTAGTGTAAATGCGATCCATATTAGCAAAGCTGTGTTATATGCATACGAAATTTAAGAGAATATCTGTAAATACTTATATTATTAACCATTTTTTTTTTTTGTTTATACTTTCAGTAGCTTTTTTAATTATTATTTAATTTTAATTGAATTTGAAAATAATGTTAACAAAAGCTTTTAATTTTTATTTCTAAGAAAAGTTAATAAAGTTTGGTTGGTTTATTTATTTTTGTATTTTTTTCTTTTTTTTTTTAACTCACTCTCTCTTTCTCTCTCTCTCTCTTAATTCTTAAGGAACATCTGTGCGCCTGCAATATCCTAGATATGAAGAAAAGAAATCATTCTAAGATGCAGCGAACATTTTAATGTGCGTAGGGCCGTCCGTCTGTCCATCTGTCTGAAGGTCGTCAAAATAACGGAAAACTGTTGTAACGCCAGCCAGAAAGTCCACTTCAAAGGGCAAAACGAATATGTGATCCACAATAACAAAAAAAAAACACTAGTTGATAGGATGACAACATAACTTACATCTTCATTTTTTTTCTTACGATTTTGTTTTGAGGGCAATGTTACATTAGTAGTATTACTTTGACCCATAAGAAGATCAATTTGAAAGAAATTTCATCATATTTTCTTACGAAAAGCACTTTATTCGCTTCATTGGGGTTTTCACGATTTCGCGGATTAATTCTAAAACCTGTTCTCTGACGAAAATAAGCATTCATTCAAGCAAGAATCTCAAACGAAAGTGTGCATGTACATCTTTCTGTTCTTCATATTACATTTTGTTTTAACGCTATGACGCATAGAAAGTTTATAAACACGAAATTTCTACAAAAGTTCAAACATATTTAGAGTTCAATGGTCTGTTTATATATGTAGCACGGCAGTAATAGGCAAGACTCGTCTGTCGAGACATCTAACTAAATGGCCATCCTTTCGCTTATTACTCGACTAATCTATTTGTTCAGTTACGTATGCGCTGACCCTTCTGCCTACTTGTTCATTCAGCCACGCGTTCACTTGCCTTATGCTAAATTGTCAATCAGTCTTTCTAGCACTTTCTAGAGATTCTTATTGCATTTTTTATTTTTTTAATTTCTGCGGAATCACTTTTAAAATTAAGACAATTCGTCTACAGAAAGTGAAATATGAAGACAATTTGGAAAAAATTGTGTGTGTCTTAAATCTTCTGCTACGGTTTAAAGAAATTGTTTGGAATTTTTTAAATTGTTTTTTCTTTCATTAAAATTTATTATTCTCGAACATTCGTTAAGGCATTTTGATAAAGATTTTTGCAAAATTTACTAAAATCTATGGAATTGTGTCAGCATTCCGTCTCATTTGGATTCGCTGCGGAAATATTCGAGCTGGGGAACTTATTATGGAAGTGTAGCCGCGTTTCCTCACAGTGAAGAGCTGGCGAGTAGCCTTCTTTTAGTTAGTTACCCATTACCGAAGAATAAGGGGTATGTTTATTTTGCCAAAAACGTTGGCAACGCACAGAAGGAAGTTTCAGAGACGCCACAAAGTATATGTATTCTTGATCAGCATCAAATTCTGAATCGATTTAAGTTTGCCCGTCTGTGTGCCTGTCCGTCTTCGTAAGGTCCGTTGTAAACATTTTCCCGATCGCAAAAATGGAGCTATCGACTTCAAATTTGGCAGAAACATTGTAAGTTCTTGGATACAGGGCGGTGCTGAAAATGGGCCCAATCAATCAGAGAACACGCTCGTAGCATCACGTAAACCGAGAACACCTCTGTTTTACAGAAGGAATGAAAAATTGTTTTGTTGCTCATTACTTATAAACTACAGCAGATAAGCGTGCAAGAATTCGCACATATTTTATGTGGGTAATGCTGGACTACCCTCACATAAATAGAAAATATTTGCCACGCCTACTCATTTTTATGGTGGCTCATAATTTAATTTTTTTTTTTTCAAGACCTTTATAAGACGCAGAAACAAGTTCCAGCAACCCCATAAAGTGTATAACTCCTTAGTTAGTTTCAAATTTGGGATGCAATAAAACATTTCCGCCTATTCGCCTGTCCATCTGTCTGGCTGCACATATTCTCCAATTAGCGAAAAGGAAGATATCGCCTACAAATTTGCAAAATAATTTGAAAGCTACTTAAACTTTTCTAACGACACGCCTACAACGCTCACATGCGTAAGCAATAAAACAAATTATTTTGAAAGTAGTAAACGTCAGCCGCGCCCACTCCTCATTATAGGGCATGAAAACTATTTCTTCTACTTTTTTTAGTCCTTTTTAGGAAAACGGTGATGGGTATAAAGTATTCGGTCACGGCCGAGTTTGCTTATTTGTTAATTTTTGCCAGCACCTAGAGCACATTAAAGGACAATTACAATGCCATAACAATGTCAGTGCGGAATGGAATTTAAAAGTGAACAATACTGCTTAAGGAGAAGGAGCATATTCCTTAATCAATAAAAGACGTGTATATCTACAATCGAACATATAGCAAGAAATGACGAGTGTCCGGCGACTAGAACAGGACAAAGCGCCACATCTCTGGTATTTTCCAGGGGACATCCCTAAGGACCCCTTCTGAAGGGTCAATTTTCTGATGCAACCGTCAATAATATGATGCGACCGTTGTATCATGTCACGCCTTCTCGTCAAGGCGACGGCTAGCTTCACCTCCATCCAAATTTCATATTTAAATGTTTTCGTGGGTCTCCCTCAAATTTAACCACAGCCATAACGAAGCTTTACGAAGGGATATTTGCAAATCGCAAATCGGTACATGAGGCGCCTTAGCGATATGATGCCCGTAGACCACTGAAATTATTATTGCAGTTATCCTTAGCAAAAGACGTAATACCTACGGCAAACTAAGCACTACGACAAACAACCATCTCTACAACGGTATGACTATGGAGAAAAGGAGTAACAACTTCTGGTTATACATGGCAATCTTATCGAAGAGTGAAATATAGTAATAGCATGATGATCATTGCATCATCACCTATGATTCACTTCAAGTCAGCTTCCAAAGTCTGTGTATGGGTGTGTTGAATAATTAGGTTCGACAAAGAGTCGTAACATGATGTGACGCAATCATATTTTTAGGCTTTTTCTTATTTCAAAACATGCAAAGTTCCTTTACGATCGATTTTTAAAAGCTATTGGCAAAGCTAATGGGTTCTGAAAATCTTAAAAACCTTTAGACGAATTTTTAAAGTTACTGGGAAAGGAAATACGATATTGCAGAATCATTGCTTAGCTTGAACAAAACTAACAAAGTGAATTTTTAATTCTTTAAGCAAATTAAAGAAGATTAAATGAAATCATTCGATGAACTTTATTTATAAATAGCACGCGATACTTATTGAAATTGTTGCATTCGAGAGGTTTTTACATTAACTTTTTTCAATACGAGGATAAACTTGACAGCTACTCTCATATTTTTCAAAGAAAAACTCGAAACTTTTATTTAATTGTTTTCCTTATTTTCGCTGAGTTCATTATTATTTAACTTGATTTGTATATAAAACCTTACTGCTTAAGGTCAATGACATCATAAAAATATTTGAAGGCACGTGAGTATTAAGCAAGTCATGACTAGATGTTTTAATAGAAATGCGTGCAACCATCTACACAACGCTTGCTTTACGCTTATCTGCAAAAAAAAAATTTATATATGTATATAAGAAAACTACGCACGCCTTGAAAAAGCTTCGCTATCCGCTATTTGAGCGAATTTAAAATGTTTAGACACTGTTTGCCTTTCCCTTAACTGTCAGTATATCAATTCTCAGGTTTATATTCAAATCAAATCTCTTTCTCCATAATTACAATCTGCGAAATCCCAATAACAACATCTAATTAAGCAATATGAAGATGAACAGATGGATAGAGAAGTTGGCAAAAGCAATTTATTCACTTAACTTTCTCAAGTCTCAGTGTAGAAAAGATGAATTTTTAAGAATCTCTGGCAACTACAGAACGAAAGAACGACGAAATCTTTAATCGGTGGCCGCGAAAGAAAGCCCAAAACCTTGGGGAAAGTCACAATAAGTAGCATATGCGAATGAAGGTGCGAAGAGAGCTTAGAAAGAAATCCTAAGCGTCTGCAAAACCCTAAAACCATTTTTCATTGTGAACACTTGCCGTTTTTCTCGCCGAATTGTGTTGGTCACAAAACCAACATAGCAAGTTGTCGAGAAAATGAGGCATTTACATTAAAACTCTGAGACCTCGACATATATATATATATATATATATATAGCACAAAAGGTTTTTACCTTTTAGATTTTTCAAATCTAACTTATTCCCAAATGACTACTACTTGTGGGACAAAAGTATATCAGGTCTTTGCTTATGTGTTATACAACACCCAGAAGGAGTTGACATAGACTCACTTTTTCTTATGTCGATCGATTCGGAAAGTAATTCTGAGCTTGTCTGTCCAGTTGTCCGTTTAGTTTTCTTGTGTAGAGCCTATAGCCTATAGCAAGTTTTGAAGGAAGCTGGTACGCTAACATGTTTTGGCCCAAAGACGAATACTGTTGGAAATGATTCGTATCGAAAAACTTCTTCCACCATCGCTTTCCATCTAAAGCCTTTATTGAAAATGCGCGTACTATGGTATAGGGTATTTAATGTTTACATAGTGCACTTATTTGCTTTGTATACCGAAATCAACTTCAAACTATTTCTGCCCGCGTCAAGCATAATTTGTTCTGTAACATCGATTTTAAATAGGTGATGGATGTGAAAAATGTGGATAAAGGTCGCGCATAATGTTAAAATTATTTTTATAATTAAAGAGAGTGGAAAATTCGTAGCTTTCAATGACGTCAGTGCACCTGAGGAGGATTTAGCTTATGAAGCCGCCCAACAGTTGGGACAGTTAATACATCGCTTAAATCAACTGAATTTTGAAGAGCAATCACGTCAAATGCAGTTGCCCAACATAACCATCAATAGTTTGCTAAATCGTATACCGTGTTCCTGCAACAAAGGCATTTGCAAATGCTGTGCAGGTAAGCTTTTGTCTCATGAATTTTTGCTTTTTAGTGCAAGATTTGATTTTTTGTAGGCTTATTGTCTGTAATCGGAATGAATTCTTGTACTGAAGTGGTTTATCGACCGGAGGAGTTTTCCTTCGAGTTGAAAATGCGTGTAAACGACAATGTTTGGTTTCGTCGTAAAATCTCTGGTCAAAATCCGCCACCCGTTTGCTTTCGCCCGCCACGCTTCGGTTTTGTTCGTGCCTGTATGCAGTTTCATGATATCTGGTTTTCCGGCCGCAATATGCACGTATGCATGCATATGTCGGCCGCATTTCAAGGCTACGAACTGTTTGAAAGGTAATCTAAACGTGAACTAATATTTTCCAAATTTTTGTATTTTGTTTTCGTTAGAAATTTCGATTGTCTAAAGTTTGGCGATGAAGGCGTTAAAGTAGTTAAAGCCGAAGAAGGATTCCCGATACGCCCGGGCGATGTAGAAATTGATGATTCTTACGAGGAAATTGAAGAATATGATGAAAATGTTGTAAGAAAAAAACGAAAAGTCGTAAAGCGGAAGAATGGAAAACTTTAAAGAAGAATGCATAAGGAGTCGTCACTAAGATAAGTGAAGGAAAGGAAAAAGCAACAATATATACAAAGGCCATATATTTGAATAATTGGTTATAACATTTAGTTATTAATTTATCAAATTCATTTATTTATTTATTCATTAATTTACTTATTTTTATTATTATTGTTATTTATTTCAAAATATATGAAGAAAGTCTTATGGCATATAAAGTTACTTACCTTCAATGTTTCTTAACAGTTCACTGATAGTTTTCGAAAGACCTTCAAAGTGCGAGTTGTGACAAATAGCCATACAATGAGGTGAGCTCTAAGAATGAGTAAAATTTTCGAAAGATATGCTACTTGAACCAACTTAGACGTAAAAGCCTTGCACGGTAATGATGTGTTTAATAATAAATAAAATAAAAAAAGGCTAGGTTTGAGACAATCGAAATCAATTCCCATAAAGCAATGGATTGAGTATAAGTTCGCACGTTTATCATATGGATCGTGAAGTTTTACTTAATAAATGCAATCAGGGGAAAGCCTCGTTTAGTTACCGGACCAACAGCAATTAGCTGAAACTGTCTTTGACAATATTTACAAGAGAGGCCAGTAGGCCTACCATATGACATTTGTTTTTCTCTATTTTATGTCAATCTACAATGAAAGCTTTCTGCAATCAGCTATTTATGACATAAACAAAACCGCTAGTCCGCAGCAGCCACTTGAATAAGAAAAGAGTTCATAACAAGGGTATAGTTCAGAATGGAAACAATAGTAGATAAGCTTAGGTATACCTTAGATCCAGGAATTGAAGACGTAATCGCTATAACGTAAAAAACGTCGAAAATGCTGAAAATGCTATTTTCCTATAGCAGGTATTATTTTTTATTATTTTTTTTTTGTTTTGTTTAATGTCTATCTCTAAAAGAATATTCTCTTTATTCTCTGCTCAGATTTTCTAATGAATGAAATTTATGAAATAATGCACTCGTTTCTCTATTTATTTGTGATAATTTGTTAGGAATTGTGCTTCTTCTTCTTCTTCTTGTGCATTTATAAGTATAATCTAAACGGCGGAGAATAGGTGCTAGCGCCACCACTTGTTGCCTCAATTAACTATGTATGGCAAGTCTATTATCCTAATAACCATCGTATATATATTCTGTTTAAAAATCCTTTGTAAAGTAATGTGTGAAAACATATTCACAGTACCTCTGTGAATGCTCAAAACCCGGCGAGAGCTGTTAATGTTGAACACAAGTGAGCCACTTTAGCACTTATGTTCATAACCGAGCAAGCAACCATCCAAACAACCAAACAACACTGCTCGGTATATGAAAATGAAAAGAGAAAAAAGTAAATCACAAAAAGACTACACACAGGAGGGTCCTAAGAGTTGCATATATTTATTAAAACGGATGCAAAATTATTCGCATACAAAATGCATATATCCTGTGCATTTCATAATCACTACCATTCATTCATTCATTCACTCATTCATTCACGTTTTTGTTCTATAAGCAACGACAAAACACATGAAGAACATTGTGTAAGAGGGTCCTGGGTATGCATGTTCGTGTGTTAACGCAAGGATAATAATCTTTACACGTTCCCATAAAATGCTGTTTATTACATTCTTTTTTTTTTTTTCTTCATATCTTTTTTTCAATTTTTGCTTTAGAGAAAATGTGCATGCATATGCACATTGTATGGTTAGCACGTATAAACGAATGAATGCAAAATTTGTAGTGATGTGCAAATGCATTTCAAGGATAGGATGACGTGTAACACAGAGTGCTTTTTATTAACAACGCATATTCCGTATAACGCCTTTTTTCTCTGCCAAGTTATTAAACGTGTGGAAGCTGGAGAGACCTTAACGCTTAATATACGAAATTTTCATACCAATGCTTTTTTTCTCTGCTTTCCGTGTTTAGTTGATAGCACTTGAAGCATTTTAAAAGAACATTTTCACACTTGAACGATTGAGGAAGCAAAAAACGAAGAGACTTAAAACAACAACGCAGTTATTAATAAAGATGAGTTGATTATGAATGGGAAAATTCGCTTAGAAATTAAATTACCTGAAAATAAAATTCAGATAGATTGAAATGTGTTAAGTCAAAAGGACCGGGGAAATCTCAAGCTTAATAGAGCGCGAGAAACTGAGATATTCTACTGTAGTAAAAATATATGAAAAGCATGGCCTAAGTAATACAAAAAGAAAACACAAATGTCTGGCCATGTTACGATTTCATGGTATCGGTTTTATCAGCATTTTTATAGCCGCCTGAAATGAACATATCAATAAGTATCGGGAATAGTGAAAAAAGGGTAAAAAGTAAGTTTTGATTCACCAGCAGGTACATTGTACGTGTGTAATAACTACTCAAAGAGAAATCGAAGCCTAAGGAATAAAACCCTGTGGACACTTATGGGACTAAAACATTGAAGAGAAACAACAAAATTTTGACTTTTAAGGGAAAAGCAGACAATACAGAATTGCCAAAAAATACATATATAATAGCTCGGAGCAGTCTTCAATAGAGGGCCTTTAAAAAAGCCCGTCGCCAGAGAGTGTTACTTCTCCTATTCTATGCGAAACAAAATCCTGCCCGAACTATGACGATTCGGCCAAAATAAATATGACGCCATAATTTTAAAATTTTGCGGACCAAGGCCATCGTTCGTCCGTTCTATTTGGTGGTTTTAGCTGGGTACAGAGAGTGTTATTTACCACATACACTCATGCAGGCAGGCTCGCTTTAAAGCTGGTTTAACCTAACCTCAACATTATGAAATGCAGTCAATAAGGACTTATACAACCGAGTCAATTGGACGTTAGAGGCAGAAAAATAAAAGTGTTTATGTTTACAAAATGTCTCTTAGGTTAGTTATATCCTGAAAGATTAAAACTCTTAGCTAAAGTGAGAGAAAACCAATCACTTCCAAGTCAGCATCCTGGGCGCACAGTTAACTTGCTATTGACAAACTTTCGTCAAACATACTGCAAGGTCTAATCCTGCACCTCTTTTTTAGACTACGCAATTGTTACACAGCGTGATTACGACCACGCCTCAAAATTGCTGGAAAAACTAAACTAAATTCAATTAATTATTAGACGCCGACGCAAAACCTGATTAAGCCCCTAGTTGAAATCCGGATGCTGTGATTAGTTGATAAATCCCTCAAATATTTTTCTATGATCTAATTCTTGCGAAAGCACAAACTCTCAAATTCATTTATTCGTGATATGGACAAGTGGATAACTAATTGTCTGAACGCTCTCTCTCTCTTTCTTTTTCTCTCTTTCTTCGTATCCTTCCTTCTTTCTCGCGATTTGGCCCTCTTTTTCACGATTTCTCTCTTTTTCTCACTATCCCCGTCGTTTTGCTCCCTAATAAAGACCATTAAATTTCTTCTTCTCTAGCCGATTCTCTTTATATTATTTATAGGTATCCTGTCAAAACATTATCAATTACCCTAATGTGCAGTTTTGTACTTTAATAGCCGAATTAAGGGCGAGTAAAGAAAAAATTTCTAATCTTATCATAATAAATGACCTTTGGGCTGTTGAATGACACCAATTCAATTTTATGAAGGAATAGATTTCCCGCCTTTCACAACAACTACTCAAATGACAGGCAACAGATACAAGCGTAAGTACACCATCTTCGAAAGCCTTAACAATTTTATTACACACGGAAATGACCACTTAACACAAACTGAATATAAGGGGAAATGGAAAACACAAAAATACCAATACATACAAAATTAGAAAAAGAATTGACCTCAAGGGATCAACGTAAACATAAGGACACGAAACACGCAAATGCTATCATTGCAAAATCGCATCGCTGACCATTAAAGTGATTTCAGATTATACGCTTGTTATCTTTATTGCCTTGCTGACCCTTTGTTAAGGGTAGAAAAAAAAGAAGAAGAAGAAGAAAAACCACATGTTGCTGTGTTTTGATTGAGTTACAATTAAGTGAGTAACCGGTCAAGCAAGCAGCAATCCCTCCCTCCCGTTTATTATTAGATCACCCTAATTTTAATGGTCAACGAATATGTGTGCGCGGTGGTCAGTTGCTAATTTATTATTCCATTGTTATTAAACATGATCGTAAACATGATGTTTATTGGTGTTGGTGATATTTTCTCTATTTATCAATTGACTGTGTGAACTGTAAATTTAACGCATATTTAACGATCTTTATTGTTGTTGTAAAAAAGTTTTTTTTAAACGACCGTTCGTTTTCCTTTACCCTTTTACCTTTCATTTGTTTTCCAAGCCGTCACAAATCTTAGTGAGATTAATGTTTTGCGTAAATGACAAAAATTTTGGGAGAACTTTTAAACTCGCACATACCGATATACGTCGAAATATCCTAAAACTTTCAAAGGTTGTTGGTGCTGTGTAATAGGCACTTGCATGTATTTTGATTAGCAAGATCTATCGGTGAAAATGATTAAGTAATGCGAGCTAACAATATACGCAATGGGCTTTCTCTGTACAAAATAACAATTTTCTTTTAGTATCACTGACTTCTTCAATGTATACAAACACTAGTCATGCAATGGTCAGAATTACATTTTCGACATTCATTACTGTTGTCGTTTGATTTGAAGAAATCTGTTGCCGAAGCCCATCAAACTCTTTTAGATGCTTATGGTGTTACCATCGTCATCTTCATCAGATCCCAGTTATCGGCGATGATTTGAACGGTTTAAAGGTGGTGATTTTGATGTGAATGAGACAAAACGGCCTGGAAAATCAACAATGACATGCAAGGCTTATTTGACGAAAAACTCAGCTCAAACTTTCAAAAAACTTTAAAACAGAGTTGCGGTTGGCGAATCGACTCTGTCTCGACATTTACATGTGTTAAGAAGGATCAAAAAAGAAGACGGAAAGGTGGAAGGTGGCTACCACACGAATTTACTTAAAATGACACTTCGAAGCATTGCTGTTTCACTGCTTGCCGAGCACATAAAGGAAGAGATTTCTGTGGC